GAGGGATGTGGACAACATGGAGAGGGTCCAGAGGAGGGCCACTCGCATGATCAGGAGGCAGCAGGGCAGGCCCTACGAGGAGAGGCTATGGGACCTAAACCTGTTCAGCCTCCACAAGAGAAGGCTGAGGGGGGATCTAGTGGCCTGTTACAAACTGGTCAGAGGGGACCAGCAGGCATTGGGGGAGTCTCTGTTCCCCCGAGCACTGCCAGGAGTGACTAGAAATAACAGTCACAAGGTGGCAGAGGGTAGATTCAGGCTAGACATCAGGAGGTGCTACTTCACTGTCAGGGCAGCTAGGATCTGGAACCAACTTCCAAGCGAAGTGGTGCTGGCTCCTACCCTGGGGGTCTTTAAGAGGAGGCAGATGAACACCTTGCTGGGTTCATTTGACCCCAGTACTTTTTCCTGCCATGGCAGGGGGTTGGACTTGATGATTTGCTTAGGTCCCTTCTGACCCTACAACTAAGAAGGCCTGGATGCAGCTGCCTGCCATATAAAACTTGTGGAAAGGGACATGAGCCTCAGTCTACTATTCCAAGGTCCTTAAATGCATTCTCCATACAGCAGTCCCATTCTCTGCCAGGAAATCAGGATCACACTGTGGACCTGAATATTTGTTCTGGGGTAGGGTTGCAAAGTGTTCCTACATAAATGTATGGCTGGCCTATTCTGATCTTTATTATCTTGTTTTGTTCCTGCTTTGCCAGATACTCTAGGGCATTGTGCATAAATTATGCTCTTTACATAAATTCAAGGGATAGCTCCAAGAATCGGTCTACTTTTTTTTTGCTTGTATTTCTTCAGTCTTTAAGTTCATGTGTAGCAAGGAGGTTTTGCAGTTTTCAAGTGCTGCAATAAAGTTCTGATGTTTCATTTGTGAATGTCCATGTAATCAGAGACCAATGTTACCCCAATAAAATATCCTGCGTGTTTTCTTTCCCCCTGTATCTCTTCCTTGTCAGATGTTTCTTAGCTGCTTGAGTGAACTTTGTGTGGCATTCCCTATTCTCACTAAATCTAGCATACTTTCTGTGTCAAGAAAGAGAGGAGATTGGGCAGCCTTCAAAATTGGAAGTCAAAACAGTGAGAGCAATAAGTAATAGCAGAAACCTCATAGCATGGAAGTTTCCAATCAGGTGGTTGGGATGGTTTCTTTAAAAACTAAATCCTGGTTTCTCCTGAAACCAGATCATCTGGAAGCATTTGTTTCATAAATATAAAAAAATAAACAACTAAAGCTTTTTTTGGTGGCCAAAATGAAAATGAGTGGGTTATGCACTTCTACTCTCATAAATCAATGCACATGTTTAAAATGGCTCATAGGACAGAAGGGGAATTCAAAGAGGAAGTAATTCAGACTGTACTAATTGGCAGAGTGTAGTGAGGTTGAAGTACTCTTTATGTACAAAGTCCAGTGGCAAACCTCCAGGTAAATTACCTCGGTCCATCTTTTAAGATAAGAAAACTAATAGTGCATCTCAAAGGCCTGTTTGAAATAATCTTCATATTCTTAAAGAGCCAGAAACTTCTCACTGTGAAGTCAGAAGGTTTTAATTTTTGCCCTTTCAATTGAATGAAATCAGGACTGCATCCAGTGTCGGTATAATTTTTCCTGTGTCTGCTTTAGATTTTACTTAGGAAAATTATAGGCAATATACAAATATTATCAAAGTACAGAAGAACTTCTCTTTTGTCTTTGTTTTGCTTTTTATTTGCTTTGTTATTTTCAGTAAAGAATTAAAATTGGGTTTCTCTTCTGATAAGAGAGCATGCAACAATAGGCATGCACTCACTCATTCAAAATTGTTTATCACACAGCATGGCTATAATTAAATGATATTTGATGCTTCCCATACTAAGACCCTGTTTTCAGCTGTTTATATGTGTGCTACACTTAACCATTTAGCCTTTCTTCCATGCCATGCAACCGCACCAGGCTGAATTTTTATTTTTGCTTTTGCAGTTAAATTCCTCAAAGACATGAGAATGGAGCAGAGAACCCTGTTGAGAAGCAAAGATTTAGAGAAAGAAAACTCTCACTGTGTAAGGAGTGAAACTGAGATCAGAAGAAGTAGGAGAAAAGGATACATTGTGACTTAATGAAGATCCAACAGCATGAAATTAGGACTAGGAGCCAATAGGGTTGGAAAACAGGGGGAAGATGTCACTGATGTCCAGTTAAGGCAAGGGTGGGCAAAATATGGCCTGCAGGCTGAATCCAGCCTGCCAAGAGATTCTATCCAGCCTGCAGTGGGTCTCTCGGCCCTGCCGAGCCCAGGTGCAGCGGGAAGCATGGGTCGTGGTGTGTGTGGCCGGTTTTGCTATTGAGAGGGCTCAGCTTCCAAGTAGCCCTCTCAATGGTGGCTCCTTCCAGCTACTGCTGCCTGTGTCACTGCCACTGCCTGTGCCACTGCCACTGCTCCTTCCAGCTACCGCTGCCTGTGTCACTGCCACTGCTGGACCTGGCCCATCCACCCTGCACCCACTGCCATGGTTGCTGGACAGAACAGGAGGTGGGTGGGGTCTCCATAGAGACCAGCCCAGGACCCCCATGGGCAGGGTGCACTGGGCTAGGTGGATGGGATGGGACTGCAGGTATGTGGGGAGCACCAGTAGTCTGGAGTGGTGAGATTAGGATTTGCTGTTTATAAGATATTGATTTAGGATCAGAATCCTGTGAAGGGGACTAAGAGGGGCTAGTTGAGAAGAAAGATGACTGTGATGGAGTGATAGGGTAGGATTGGAAAGGTACAGGGCAAAAGGGTTTTCATTTGGGAAGTTAGGTTGGAAAAGTCTATGCTTACTAGAGCAAGCTCCCATCTACCACCAAGGGTAGAACCCATGATTCTGGAGTCTGACCATCCCTCTGTCTCCATGGCATATCTGGAAACCCCACTAAGTATAATAAAAACCTTATTCTCTTCTAGAGCTAGTATGCAAGGATGAAGGCAATTTACTGGTGTCATCAGTTACTCTTAGTTCATATGGTCTATATAGTGCCATAAAATTTCCATCCATATTAAAAAATCACATGGACATTAGAACAATGCCACATGATAGGGATTCTTTTAATACAGGTTACTTTTTTAAAGCAGACTGTATTCAGACTAAATGTGCAGAATGCATTAAATAGCTTTATATTGTTTTCATGATTTTAGTTTAACTTATTTCCATTATGAACACCTAACATATATTTGAATAAGAAATATAATGTGACTCTTTTTAACCCGGATATCCATCAGTCTGGCACTGTCACAAGGCAATAAGGGCCTGATACACACACATCATATACAGCAGTATCATAATGGGTTTGTAAGCGTTTACATTCCTGAATGTCACATAGTCTATTTTGTTTTAATACAATTATGTTAAAAGAATAGGGGGAAATAGTATATGAGCATGTTATTAAAGACTGCATTGCAACTCATACACCAAATGAGGGATGATTTAAAGTTGCACAGAGAGGCCTAATTTTGGCAGCAGTTTCTCATTTTTGACTAGTGGGTTTTGTGATGTTAATGCTGTTCTTAAACCAAGTCTGAATACAGTTGACTGCTAGCAAATTGTTTGCAAGATGATGATATGTCATATTTGTTTTTTACTTTTGCAATTTTTGACTTGAAGGAGTTTTGTGTTAAAGTGTACCCGCTCACCAGATGACTTTCATTGCTAATACATTCACTGCAATCACTTCAAGGGAGAAATAACTAGTTTACTATGTGGTTGATGCCCAATGTTAATCAGCTGTGACGCTAATCAGGTTTGCAGAAAGCCTGTTGTATCCTAAAGGAATTAAGTTCAGGCAGCCTAAAGAAGAGTGTGAGGATGGAAATGAGTCATTGTACTGTAAGAAAAATCTATATCAGTGCTTGATGAGTAACTTTAAATTTGCCTTACAGAAATCAGGAATGGGAATCTAAAGGCCATTTTAGGTCTTTTCTTCAGTCTGTCCCGATACAAGCAGCAGCAGCAGCAGCCACAGAAACAGCATCCGCAGCACCATCCATCCCAGCAACCTTCTGCAGTATCTCAGCAAGCAGGACCTCCATCTCAGTGCCAGATTGGGGTGCAGCAGCAGCATCCACAACCACAGCAGGTGCTGCCTTCACCCCAAACACAGTGCCAACAACCCCAGCAAGCTGCACATCATCAGTTAAAAGCACAACCAGAAATGCAGTCAAGGTGGGATATTTTCTTTAAAGTTTTCCCCTTTAAAGAGATTTCAAAACCAGAGTCAGCCTCTTTCTCCTGCTCTTTTTCAGAGCAGAAGCTAATTAATACCTCAAATTCTCAGGAGGTGAAAGCTGCGTAGCAATCAACTTCACAGCCCTTAAAACTAAAATAGAAGAGAGAATGGTTTGTTTGTAGCAGCAATATTTATTTATGCAGTTTTAAGATTTTGGTACATGGGAATAAGCAGGATTTAGGTTAAGTAAACGTAAGGTTTTATTTCATTTTATTCCTTTCTAATGATAAAGCCTTTAATTAGAGGTACCCATCAAGAAATGGTAGTTATTTATGCAAGACCAAGGATCACGTCCTGAAGGCAAGATGAAGCCATGTTTTAATGTTATGTGCATCTTTACAGGGATTACATAACCATGATGATTTGTATCTTAAAATAAAAATCCCTGCAGAATTTTTCAGCTCAAAACCAGGGTCCATGGAGGAATCTGTCTCAAAGATTGGTGATCGAAACCTTTCACCATTCTTGTTGGTTCAAATCTATGATAGGTTTGTTATTCAAAAGTTGTTAACAACTGATAGATGCTTTATGGTTCATGTGACATGAATTTGGTCTCATTTTAGTTATGAGACTAGTGCCCATATTGCAAAAATAATAAATCCATACTTTGCATCTTTTTGGCAAACCCTGAGTGGGCTACATAGACTGGCTATCCAATAAGCCTTAAAATGGTCACTCCAAATTAGGTGTGAAGCCAGTGATACTATTCCTACTGTACCCATTCCACATATTTTATGTATTGGACTGTTTATCGATTGAAGAAAATAGGACTTCTCGTGGGAGTGAGGTGAAAGGTTTTAGCACTAAAGACATACCTGAGCATCTCTTTTATTTCCTGTCCTACTATATGTGGTCTGTTTTGATTTTCAGGTAACAATAAAAAATGTTTTTAATTTTACGCTGAGTTTCAAAGTAAGTGCTGGTTTGTGGATACGGAACAACCTCAGCACCAGGAATATACATTTGGGCTGTGCAAAGCTTTGGTCACTGATTCACTGGCCGAATCTCTGAATCCAAATCGAATCAGGAGACCCTTTAATCTCCGAATTGATTCAGAGAGATTGGGAAAGATTCGATGATTCAGACATAGACACAGCTTTAAATGTTTTTTCTACATACCTCAAGGTACCAGGCATGGTTCGTGAATGCTGTGCTACTGGGGTGGGATGGAGCATCCCAGAGGAGCGTGGGGGGCTCCCCAGTGTGCTTGGCAGCAGACCCAGAAGTGAACCAGGAGCACTTCTGGGTCTGCTGGGGAGCATGCTGGGGGGCCCCCTGCACCCCCTCCGGCTCGGTGACTGGTGCCTGCTGGGTCTGGGGGGGCACCCAGGGTCCCCCTGTGGCCAATCCCTGAACCAGAGGGCTGCGGGGGTTGGGGGCACGCTCAGTGGTGGACCTGGAAGTGGACAGGAAGTACTTCCAGTCTACTTCTGGGTTCGTTATCAAGCAAAGAAGGGCCCCCCGCGCTCCTGTGGGATGCTCCATCCACCCCAGCATCTCAGTATTCACGAGCCACCTGGTACCTTGAGGTATGTAGAAAAAACATTTAAAGCTGTGTCTATGGCCAAATCACTTATTCTCCAAATCAGCATTGAATCTTCAGATTCGGCAGAATCGAATCGGGATAGTGATCTGAATCAACCAATTGAATCACTGTCCCCGATTTGGGCAGAATTTGAATCAAATATGGCCTGGTTCATACACCCCTAATACGCATTCTTAACCTGAATCTTGCTAGCTGGGACAGTTGTCAGAGCTTTTACAATTTTTTACCTTACAGCAAAAACTGTGCACTTTAATAGATTCAACAAAGCATTGAACAAAGTGATGTTTTCTCTATAATTATATGCAGACAGTATTTTTACAGCCATATGAAATATTCATAAGTTTCTATACAAAATATCTCCTATATAAAAATGTAAGTTGAACATCAAGAATAAATTGCAATGATCCTTTCTTTGTGGCAGAGAAGCACTGAATGTTTTAAACATTGGGTTGGTGATTGCAACATATTCTGGTAATGATCTAGAAACAATAAAAAACAAACTTTGAATTTGAGGATTTCTATAGGAGTAGCATAAATTCACAGATAGTATACATTAGCATTATTAGCTTACTCAGGTTCCACATTGCATATAATAACGGTTTGAAAAAGAAATGAATGATAAAGTTTGATTTTTGCTCTCACAAATATAGGCTCAATGTAGCATACTTTTATGACTTAATTACTGAATATGAAACTAAACACAGACTATAGAAAATGAATCAAGTCTGAGGAGTTCTACCTAGGAATGAAGCTCTTGTTAAATTAATTTAAAAAAAACCCTTGGCTTTCTAAAACCACTGGCTGAGTTCAGGGGCTTTTTTTTACCATTTCTTCTTTGCTCACTCATGTCTTCCACTTTTTCTTTCCCATTGTGCAGTGTGTCACCCAGGGACTCATCTCAAAGCAAAATCATCCGATTCACTCTTGGTCAGAAAAAGACTTCTAGGTTAGCATTTCTTCCTCTTCTGCAAAGCATGGATAACTCTTCTTGCAAGATTTCCAACTGCATGTTTAGAGTTCACCTTTAAAAATATTTACTTTTTTAGTACCTCAGAAGAGCTCAAGCTTAGGGGCTCTCTAAGACTATCCTTTTGTTCCTTTGTTTTTGCTTGACTTTTTATTGAGGTGGATGCCCTTGTCTTTCCTGTTAGCAAAAAATATTGTGGTTTGACAGTTTTTGTGAGACTTTCAATTTAAAAAGGCAAGATGTTTCTAGGGGTTCCCTCCCTGACATACTTACATCAGTAATTTCCATTTCTATACAGTTGAAATGACTAATGTCACACTACATTCTCTGTGGTAATAAGAATTGGAACATATATTCTGCAAGCAGGGTGAGCAGGTCTTCAGCCCTAGATGCTATCATAGAATCACCAGATCACACCCCCACCCTGGGAGTCTGTCAGAGCAGGTGCAACACCTCACTCAGCAATGTCTAGTAGAGGGAGGAGGGGGGGAGTGTAATCTCCCCCTCCCTGCCCCTCCGCCACCCTCCTGCCCCTTCAAGGAGTACTTGCCATGCTGGGCACAGCCCTGCATCCAGTCGCATATCAGTGAATGGTGCATGACAGGCAGCCCCCAGGGAGCTCATGCCATGGGGCTGCTGCACCTGGTGTGCAGTGAGCTTTTTCTCAGCAGCGGCAGCTTGAGTCCACACTGCTATAGCAGTAGACACAGCAGTAGCAGCTGCTGTTTGAATGCAGAGAGCAGGGCCAGGTAAGACTCTGTCCCTCTCCTCCTCCCTACCGCTTTTCAGTGATCTGCATAATCTCCTCCCAACCAGACTTGGACACAGGCTTGGGCGAACTGGGAAGCTGTCCAGGGTCTAGATGGAAAGGGGGCCAGAAAATAGTAATTTTTTTCCTGTTGTCCAATTATTATTATCATTATCTCTCCTGAAAGGGGGCCCAATACTAAAAGTTCACCTGGGGCCACCAGGAGTCTAGGTACATCATGACTTCCAACCCACCCTGGGGTGCTGATGGAGCTTGCTATGCCTCTGCCTGTGCATCAGGTGAGACAAACCATACAGTAGGTATGTTTCGTCATTGCTCCTGGACTTCCCTGTGTCCTCTAGTTGAGAATATCTAATTTTCCTGAAAATGAATAATAGGTATTTCAGTATGTTTCCCCCTGAATCCCAGCTTGACCTACATGCCAGCTCCTCACTGTACCAGTCTAAGGCTCCCTGTCATAATCATCTTAAGTGCCTTTGGCATCAATCATATACTTTCTTGTGATTGATACTGCTCTTTGTATTATTGTGTAATCATGGGTATTTTATTAGGAACTCAGTTGTAGTTCAGCACTAAGTACTGTATTGTCATTTGCCATTGTTTTTCTTACCTTTTACATTGACCACCAAATCTTTCCCCTTTCTATATGTGGAATTAATGCTGAAAAAAACATGAGTTCTGCCTAGAGTCTGGATTCACTTATCCCAGATATTTTAGTTGGTGAATGGAGGGTCTAAGCACCTGAAAAGCTTCCTGTACTTGAGCTTCTGTCTCAAATCACCTTTTAAGCATTGTTGGCTCTCCCTGTTATTCTTGCTTCCTTATTTATTTCCCTCCTAACACCCACTTGATATCTGAAAACCATGTGGTTCTTCTCTAGACATGGTTATGGTCCGTGTTAGTTTACATTTTTGGCTTAGCTGAAGGTACTGAAGAGTGGGTTTTTTTCAAATTTATACCTGGTCTCTGATAGCAAGACTCCAGGATGTCCACCCTGAAACTAGAGTCTTCTAACAAGTGGGCTCCAGATGCTACTAATGCACTTTGTTTTAGTGCTAGAGGCCTGTGATTAAACCAAAATGGATCAGATTGGTCACAATAGGACCAATAATTAGGAGAAATGATTATTTGTATATCTTCTTAAGTGTTCTATTCTTGTGTGTATAGAGAGAAAGAGATATCTATCTATCTAGATAGCTATTGAGATATATGTAGATATATATACTGTTTACATGCATTTTGACTAGCAGATGCAATACTGATTGAGTTTAAAACTTGTTATTTTCTGTTCTAGTTAATGTGTCTTGATAGTCTTATTCACTGAATAATGTTGCTGAATTTATGGATTTCTGGCTTTTTCTCTGCTAGCCAGTTTGGTCCACTACCTTCACACTGCGCTCATCTACACAAGACACTATATCACCTTAGCATAGGTGGGCACAAAGAGTGACACTGACACTACTTCGCCATAGCATAGAGCTATGTCACTTTTGCTCATTGCTACAGTGACATAGCATCTAAAAATAACTTTGTGCCACTGGGACTGTGCAGTACCACGTGCGCAGTTAGGGGTACATTTAGATGCACCCACTATGATTGAAAGTATCATATTTATTTGGTTATAAGGTGACCCTGAATATAAGATGACCTCCCC